GGCGTTCTCACCACTGGCTGGTTTCTCACTGAAGCACTCTACCGGACCACTGTTGGTAGAGGAACCTACTGAATGGGCCAGTTGCCACTGGAGATGGTGACGGTGGGCGATGTTTTTGGCAAAGAGTCAGTGTTGGTCAAGGAAACTTGCTGAGCTAATTTTTGCGGAATTCCAATACGTTAGTATTGAAGTCCGACCACAGCAACGATTTAGTTTTTTTTTCTCCGAGCTCCCTATCAAGCCCCACTTACATCTTATTGGCTTTAATTGGTTAATGAATATTCTGCTAGGTTTGCTTTACTGATGTTTAGGGCACACTACTACAGTGTAGAATAAATAAATAAATAAATAAATAAATTAATAAATAAATAAATGTCATGCTCTTGGAGATAGACTCAAGGTGGCCGGGGTCGGACCCCGTTGGAGGTGAAGAGCTAGCTGTCCACTTCTGCATGTCACCTTATTTCCCAAAATTTTTCTGCGGATGGAATAAGAGATAAGGACACTACCGTGAGTATCCGTAGAACTCGGAGGAGCCATTCGGCTCAGAAGGGAAAGGGACACCTTGCGCCTTTGCGGGTTCGTTTTGCTAATTCAAGTCAACTACCACCATGAGCGGTGGAGTGACACAGTTGAAGCACTTTGGCCATAAGAGTTCACAGGTCAGCGTCCCTACATATTTAAATCATTCGGTGCCCCCGCCAAGCTCCTTGAGGTGTCCTAGTGACCTTTAGCTAAAGTCGAAAGCCTGGTGCACGCCCCTCCATTCGGTCCACCCCTCCATTCAGTCCACTCCTCCATTCGATCTCAGACGACTACGAAAAACTGCAAATTGAGCAACACAGTAAGGACGAGAAAGAGTAATGAAGGAGGGCTGATGTGCTGGATAGCGTGAACCCAGAAAACCTTTTCTCCAAGAAACCTATGCTCGAGTGTTAGAGGTATGCGGAACAGCACACTCATAACTCATTCCCATCATAGTAGGGTTAGAGAATCGAGTAGAAATGGTTTCATCGTTTTCGTCCGTGCCAAGAGGGCTGCAGGTAGATTCGCAAGCTCTGGTAGTTCTCCCAGTCTGCGGCCCTGGACAGTGATCACGATTTCGGCTGAGTGCCTGAACGCCGCCACAACCTGAGGGAGCATTTAGCCGTTGTAACTGTGAGTAAAAAGAGTTCAAACACGCATGTTATGCTTTGTGCCTCGAAAAGTGTAGAAACATGTAAAGAAAACCATCGGAAATGCCCTGAGTGAGAGCCCATTAACTCCGAAAGTTGTGCGAAAATGCTGCGAAGAGAGCGCGCTTCGGATGAGTTCTCAAATATCATGACGATGTTAGTCCTTCTCTTATATCACGTCACTTTCGTCAATAGGATTTTCACCAAATCCAATCATATCCTGTCTTATCACTGTTGATAGCAAGCCTCCCTTTTGACGTCTAAGCCTTCGTTTGCAGGCGGAACTGCCGTTGACGCATAAGTTATCCGTGAGTGAGGCTTAATAGCCTCCCTCCTAGGAGACAACAACAACAACAACAACTAATCTCTATTTCGTCACTTCCACCATTGGGATTTTCACCAAATCCCTTCTTTTCACGTCACAGCATCACTTGGAGAAGGAAGGAACGGCCTGTGGGCATAAGTCATCTGGAGGGGAGGCCTAAAACAACGTCCCTCTCCAAATGCAGTAGCAAATAGACACTGTCACAAGTTATTTTCCGGACAAGCGCACGCGTACAACAAAAGCACGATCGCAGTCGTAAAGTTTAGAAAAACCACTTTATTCCAGTGAATAAAAAGTCTACTATAGGTCTTCGTAAAATATATGCAAAAATAGCACACATGGCTCCCCCCTGTCACTAGACCTGATCCTACCAGCAGGTTTCCCACTGAATCAAATACCATATTGTAGAGGGTATAAGACGCGTTTACAGTCTTGTTCGCTGCAAATGATGGGGCGTGTCAAGGAGCCATGGGCTTCGCCGACGCGTTGTCGCTTACCCGCTTCAAAATGAGTACGAGCTGGCAGTGCTCCACCCCAGTCTCGCTGGCACGCATCTCATCGGCAGAGAACGAGACTATATTGGCACAGGGTCGAAGAGACGTACAGTAGTTCTCGCTGCAGACGCTGTAGCGTGTCAAGGGGACTGAGGTTGAAGCGACGCCAGACCGTTCCCCACCAATGGTTCTCTTTTGCCCGTTCAATCAATCGCTGCAGAGCGGATTGGGATCACGCCAAATCCAGTCCCCCCTACCCCTGAAAAGCCCCAATTTTTGCAGAGAAAACGGCTGTATGTGTCAACGCGCGAGAAGGTTCGAGGCTAAGTGCTAGTGTGCGCTATATTCCAAAAATAAGACACTCGTAAATTTACTGAGGCTTTGCTTGCGCTTATAGTGAACTACAGTGAAAGGCAGAAGTTAAATGTAGTACCCTATCATGAAAAAATTATAGAAGCGCACTTTAACAGGGACTCTGAGGAGGATTAAAGCAAAGGTATTCCTTTTCCCATTAGATATCGACTTGAACATCCAGCTATCAGCTCCAGCTGCTGCTTCGGCTAGAAAAGGCTCCCATCGGGTATGGTTCGTGACACCCAAAGAGGCTACGTCCCGAGGGCCGTTACTCGCTAGCTGACTCGACGCAGCACTTTACCATTGGGGTCACTTCAAACGTGTCACGGAAACATACATTGATGTAAGGCCTTTATAAGAACAACACAGAGCACGCCTTATTTTTGGGGGAAGTTTTTGCAAACTACAACCCACTTCGAATACTGCTCCTCTGGCCCCTTCCTCATTCCCGATCCTATCTATCGTCTTAATGATTTCCCCGACCCTGCAACTTTTTGGAGATCCTTGTCCCTGCAACTTTTTGGAGAGAATTTTTCTCCCAAAAAAATACCACTGCTGTCGAATGTGGCAGAAGAGAAATGGCATACAAGCGCACATGATACAGGAAGAAGTAAGAAACGTTTGCATTTGAGACAATCTGCTTCTTGAGCAGAATGCGTTCTCCTCCCTCTAGCGACCAAGTACAATCATTCGTTGATACCGCGAACTGCATATGATGGGCCGAACCCCTTCCATGTCACAGGAGCCCACATGGAGAGCAGAAACACTGACTCACATTGGCCTATCCATCAACCACTGCTTGGGACAGATGGACTTCAGACAGTTCAGCGGCACGATTCTGAATAGATGCGGAGTGCATGACACAGTAAGATAGAAGTTACCTTAGCATGGCGCAGAAAAGGTTTGAGCTTTCTGAAGTCATAACGACAAAATTAAAAGTTCATAAAAGTAAAGGAAAAACGTCAGGAATGTCCTCTACAGATAAGCTCAAATCGGAGAACATTTTGCAGCGGCGATTATCAGTAGTGCGACCAAGTACTGCAGGGTGTCGAAGATAGGGGCATTGACCATTGCGATCATGGCCACCCTAGGCTTAATAGGAAGAGACGACGTTTTCTTTTCCTATTAACGCAATTCCTTCGTTGCACTATGACGTGCAGCCCCTCTTCCGTTCAATTCCTTGCCTCTTGCTAAATCTCTCTGCAAGCACTTTTGCATTTCGCACGGCTTACTTTTTCTTTCACTTTCTTGACCAAGGTTTCGCAGGAGATTTATAAGAAAGCTAAGTTGGAAACAGCAAAATTGACTCTAGGAGTCTCGAACCCACACCTCATGCTTACCTGGCGGGTGCACTACCCCTTACTCCACCGGAGCTGCACCTCTCGTAAGGCTGAAGCTTTGTATGTTTCAGTTGCTATTTTGTTATGGTAGCTGCAGTTCAATGCCGCAGTTTGCGCTCTGAAGATGCTGTCAAAGGGTAATGGGAAAGTATCCCGATTCCAAGTGGGACTCGAACCAAGCTGAGAGGGTGAAAGGACGCTTTGGCGGCGTGAGGAATAACGTACTCGCCCGGTGGGCTCGAGGTTCCTGCTTGAGTCCGCCTGAGGTCAAGATCAGAACACATCGTGGTCGGGAATTCCTAAGCAGGGGAGGGGGGTCGTAGGCGGTCGATGGGAGATGGGAGATCGTATTTGGGCTGAGAAAGTTTTTTTATAGTTGATCGACCCA